TCAGGTATCTAAATATCTTTCTTAAATATCGAAATAATGAATTAATATGCCTTATCACCACCAAATCTGTAACCTAACTATATAAGCGAACATAAGGCTGCATTTTAGCATCTACATGCATTAATTTATTCATCCAAATAAGAAAAATTTTATAAATTCAAGCCTTAAGTTTTAAAATAATTCTTAATTTAATTCATGCTTTAAAATCGTGTAAATTGACTTGAGACATGTAAAGTTATCTAAAATAATTAATTAAATGTAATTAAATGCTCGCTTATGCTCTACCAAATTGACCAAGTGTTTAAATTGAAATGGTCTTAGAATGTTACGCGGGCTAAGTTAAACTTGCATTTAAATAATTCTCACTTTGATAAGCGTGCAAAATTCTTCTAATAGAATCTATGATTATCTTAAAATTAAAAGCTTCATATTTTACTAATAAAACCCAATATAGTTAAACTATGCAATCTCTCAAATGAAGGACATTGTCTATAGGGGCAGGGTTAGAAGTCCTACTCAACTGTTTCGATCATTCTTCTCTTAAATAGTAGAGTTTATTAATTTAGTAATTTTCAATAATGTTCAAAACGCAAGTATAAGAATTTGTATGTCCAAATCACCTAATCCAATGTTTTTCATAAGGAGCGAACTTGATAGAACTAACATTTTATAAATATTCAAGTTTCAATTTTAAATGAATTTCAAACATAAATGTTTCAAATATCAAAATCTCCGATGTTGGTCTTGTCGATTGAAATTTTAATCAGAGGTGTTTATTTTCAAAATTAAGTTTCAACAAATACCCAAAAATATCCAATTATTATAATTTCTAAATCTGATATTTTGTAAGCAAGATAAAGTTGACAATGTTTATATACAAACATATGTTCATATTTAGCTTGATCCTTTACAAGTAAGAAGTAAAGTTGATATGGTTCATGTCAAATAATCAAAATCCCAATGATGTCCATATAAGATTTTAACAGATGAGTATATTTTCAAAATTAAGTTCAAATTTGAATAAGCTCAAATGATATAAACTATGAATACAATTCAATGTAAGCAAGATAGAGTTGACAATGTTCAAATACAACACATTTCAATACTAAGTCCCATCCTTTAAGCGCAAGAAGATAAGTCGACATGGTTCAAATCAAGTAATTAAACTCTAATGATGGTTGAGTTGATAAAAATTTCTATAAGATGTGTCTATTTTCAAAATTCTGTTGAACAAATATTTGAATAAATCCAGCTATTATAATTCTTAAACCTGTTCCTCTGTAATCAAGGCAGAGTTGACAATGTTTACATACAATAATATGTCAATCTTAATCTCGATTCCTTACTAGAAAAATGTAAATTTGATGTAAAGTTAATAGGATTCAAATCAAACAATCAAATCCTTAATGATGGCTGTGTTGATTGAAAATTTCAACCGATGATCAAATTTTAATTCAATTTTTAAATCAAGTTCTCAAAATAACAAATCAAGACAATTAAGTTAAAATTTAAACACTTAAAGTTTTGAAGCAAATAAATCAAAATATTAAAGTTAAAATCATTTACTTAAAATCTAAAGCAAGCTCCATCCACCCTTCACAAAAGTTTGTCGAGCGTGACAAACTTTTGATTGACTTAAGCTCACAAAGAGTTTGTCAGTAAGGATGTGGCTTGAGTTCTCTATCTGCTTGGTTTATCTCAATGACTTCACAAAAATTAGCAGTTACGATTAAAACCCTCTGACTGTAACCATTATATTATGATCACGACCGCAACCCGTATATTCTCTAACAACTTTCTATTCAGTTAGTTTTGAATCACAATGATACAATTGATTAACATAAAACCTTTTGTCGGCTAAGGTCAACTTAATTTTGTCATCTTAGACAAACATTCACTTAAAGATCTGCAAGACTCTCTTGGAGGACGCAAACTATTGTTGTTGACTATGATCCTTCAATCTGGTTAGGTCGACTATCTCTTTTGACTAAATAGATTAGGAATTAGGACGACGCAAGACGTCGAAGCCATAAGATCTTGATCGAGTTCGTCATCATTTCCCTCACCGTTCACTTGCTCAAGTTGATAAATTTTACAATATAAAACTCTTAAGTCTGCTGCTACTATACACTGAATATTCAAAGCTAAATGATTTATCATTTACATCTAATATTTAGATCGTATGAAATATTTTGAAGCTTGATGATTTATCATATTTATTGATGATAATTTAAGAATTTACTACATTAATCTTTGGAACTAAAAAAGCTGAATTGTTATGAACTTGACAACATTTTCAAAAATTAATCCTAATTGAATTTAGTGCTTCTATAAAATTCTTCTCTCAGATAAAGATCTGGAGAATAGATCTAGTTATTCCTTGAAACTTAGTTCAAAGTCATATTTCATCAAAACTCCCAATAAAATATTACCGAACAAAGCGATCATTAGCTTTTAAAAATGGCTCATGTACTCGAACTCAAATGCTCACTTCTCATATTGAAGAAGTTCTATAGGATCTCAATAGGAGAGTTGTAGTGCTGGAGGTGAAAAAATTAAATATAGTTGTCATCTGGGATATAATTGAATCATTAAGCCGAAAAATATAAACCAATTGTAAATTGGGTTTAATTGTTATCTATCTATCAATCTAAGAAATATAATAGAAAAGTACAAGCTCTATTAGTTGTCAAATGCTTTACTCAAACTTTTGGAGTATATTTCATAGTATTTTCCTCAATGGCGACATTAAATATCACAATGGTCTGTCTAATCATCTTTGTTAGGGATTAGACCAGGTGGATGTAAAGATTATTATTTTTCTTTTTCTTTTTCTTTTTTTTTTGAAAGAGAGCTTGATGAAGATATCTAACTTTACATCTTTATTTGAAGAATCAAGGTAGAAACAGAAGCGTATGCAAATTGAAGAAGTCCCTTTATGTATTAAATTAAGATTTTGAAGCTTAATTTGGCCGCTTTATAGATTCCATGAGGAGGTATGTATACAATAGATCATAAATTGATGGAAGATTTACATACGTACCACTTAATTTCTATGTATTTACATATCTAACACCTAAACTTTAATTTTTACATATATGCCACCGTACCCATGAAAAGGTATATTTCACTTTTTTAAAGTTAAAATAGTGGTATTTTTATGTGATATGAAAGATTTTGGTGGTATAAATGTAAGAGAAGTTTAGGTGTTATAGATATGTAAATACATAGAACTTGGGTGGCACTTATGTAAATGTCCCATTGCACAAATTAATGAAATCCGTAGAAATGTATTTGAAATTAAGGATTCAAGACAACTTAGATTTTTCTTAGGAATGGAAGCCAGAAATAAAAAAGGTATGCCATGTAAGCCTATTGAAATTCCTATGGAGAATAGAAGATGGAATTCCAGTAAACAAGCAGAGATGATAGAGATGATTGTGAGATTGATATTCTTACTCAAGAAGGATAGAAAACAGTTAACGCATACATTCATCATTTGGAGAACAAAAAAAAATTGTCTACAGGATTTTCAGATTTTTGAAATCTTCATCTTACAAAGGCTTATTATTTAAAAAAAAATGTGACTATTGTGGCATTTATAGGTGCAGATTGGTTAGCACATATGGTTGTAAATGAGCCGAGCTTGAGAGGGCTCACGCTTGGCTCGTGTTTGGCTTGTTCAAAATTGGATCTTGTTCGAAATTGCTCGTGAATAGTGTGTTCGTGTTTGGCTTGATTTACATATTCTTGTTCATGTTTCACGCAAAATTGGTTTTCTAAAATTAATTAGGAAAGATAGATGTAGGGTGTTGGATTCAAACTTGCACTAATTTTGTGCAATAGAAGGTACAAAATTATAGTACCACACAAGCTATTATGATTTGTAACTTATATATATATATATATATATATATATATGTATATGCGTCTAACAATTCGCGTACCACACCCTTCACCGGGGGGAATCGAACCCTAGACCAGAAAGGACTTACAACTGACAAGCAGATGCCCGACCAACTTATCTGAGTGTGAGGCACATATATATTATTTTGAGTTAAAACGAGCATACACGATCGAACAAAGGGTTATTCCTCTTCGGCTCATTTACTTGATGAACGATTCGAACAAAGGGTTATTCCTGTTAACACGAGCTCTGCGTTGAACCATAGAAAAAACAATGACATGCAAAGAAGAAACAATCTATTAACAATATTTTAAAAAAAGAAAGTATGGGTGTTTACATAAATACAACCCAATTCCTATATATGTAACTCCTAAACTCGGCCTTTTGCATTTGGAACCCTCTAAATTTCTCATATCACATAAAAATATCACCATGTTAATTTAAAAAGGTGAAATGCAACTTTTTCATCCATAGGTAAGGTGGTCTATTTTAGCCATTTTCCATTATTATCTTTTTTTTTTAATTTTTTTTTTATTTTAACTCTTAGATTTAAGAATTTTGTTGCAATCACTATTTCTCTATAAAACTAGCCTTCAAGGTATGAATAAAATCGCACTTATTTTTTTCTCTTTCTCATCTGACATCAAACCAAACAACCTCTTGACCCTTCTCTTACAATTGCTGGAACCCTTTTAATCTGCTTCTCATAAATGTTTGCTCTTAGCTGTTAGTGCTGACTTCTCTATTAATATCTGTGCCGAAAATTTATCTGCTGCAATATATAGTTATGGCTATATTATTATTAGCATTTACATACATGCCACCGAATTCTTATATATTTACATATTAAACACCTAAATTTTACCTTTTTTTACAAATACACCTTTTATTGTATCGGTAAGGTGGCATATATGCAAAAAAATTAAAGTTTAGAAGTTAGATATGTAAATAGATAAGAATGGAGTGGTATGTATGTAAATGTTCCTTATTATTATTATTATTATTATTACATTGGTTCTAACCATGAATTATCTGCCGCATTTCTAATGGTTTTCATTTATTTCAGTTAAATCAATTTCTCATCCTTTTGCAGAACTGAAAATACGGCTGGGAGTGCTGTGACAATATGCAAACTCAACTCCTCCCGCTGATGAATTATATGGAAGCTTTTGTGGTCTATACAGCTTTCTCAAAAGCATTAATCTCCATCAAAAATCGTAATTTACATTATTACCCAGCCTTCTTACTTGCTTTTAACTTTATAAAATAGGTTTTGGCATGTCATTTGTAACACCAAGTTTTCTCTCATCTTGAATTTGGTTTTCTGTTTCCGGGAAGGTTTTAAGCTTCTGTTGCACTTTCAGTGCGCTTAAAAAAAAAAAGGCTAAAAAATTTGGAGGGGTCTAGGGGTGCAAACGAGTCGAGTCAAGTCGAGCTTTTATTAGCCTTGTCAAACTCAAGCTCGGCTTGTCTGCCTAATTCTATGCTCGAGCTTGAATGGTTAGCTTGAGCTCAGCTCGTATTGGTATCCATTAGCTGGCGAGCTCAAACTAAAAATTTAGATTTTACAGAATCTCATCGGAGAATGTATTGGTGGCCGGAGGAGTATGCAGCGGCAGCTCAAATGTATCAAAATGATTAGAATTAGGTTAATTGATACACAACTTTAATATTTACAGAAATAGATGCACAAAGCCTGTTTAATAACAAAAATAACCCCTTTTTATTTGCCTTTTTGACCTGGTAAGCTATTGTGCTAGAAGTAAAAAGTTTGACACATTCATTTTACTTGGTTTTTTGTGTATTGCTTCTTTATTTGTAAATTAGGAAGAAGTGTTTTTTTAGTCGATCAAAATTGAAGTACTAATCCTACTAGCTATAATGGAGTGCAATAAACAAGATTGTTTATCGATAAAATGTAAAAATACAAGTATCAAGGATAATATGTCTAGTAAAGAAGCTTGTGTTTGTCATTTAATAAATAAATGCTATATACTTTAAAACAATAGGCATGAAACCAAGGGTTTCTCTGGAGGAGCTGTGATTGATCAACAAGTTGTTGCGCAATAGCTGCCTCTAAAAGTTGCTGCATAGAAGTTGTTGTGGATAAATTGTCGGGCTGTTTATTTTTTCAGTTTGAAAACAACTGTGCGGTAGCTTTTTTTGAACAAATGATCATTCTATCCTTATAGTAATGTCATGGCAGTATATTTAATACATGAGAAACAAAAATTAACTTTAGAGCAGCACAAAAATTAAGATCTACACCGCAGTTAATAGTGAGTATCATGATTACTAAAATAAAGAAAAATTATTAAAATAACAAATAATAATATTATAATATTATTTTTAAAATGCAATCGGCGTATGTCACGAGCTACGCCATCCTGTAGGGAAGCTATCTATTCCCAATCATTCTCAGTAGCAGAATCTACCAACTATCTGCACACCTAAAGGAGTCATATTTTTTCATGATTCTCCATGAGCACCTGTAGAACCGTCTCTCGTAGCTACCTGGCTTACATGACGTCAACAGGGAAATCTGAAGTCTACGGTGGCATAGCAATCCTCGGAAGGTTCCAAAAATTTTAGAATTCATCTTTCTTGAATGCTTTAAAAGACATTTTATTATTCATAACACAAGTTGAAATTGATAAAAGTAGTTAAATATAATTTTGTGCGAGCATGAGGTTTTAGAGAACTCGGTATATCGATCAACGAATCAGTCACTACAAGAAGACTACAGACCTTGTAAAAAAAGGTTCTTGGTTCCTTTTAACCTCATAATCTCAAACTCGTGTGTGTCACATATGTATATCACAAAAATGTCATTCAGAAGAACCTCAAAAACGTATTGCCAAAAAAAAAGAGGAACTTGGATGCCTTCAACAGGATTTCACATGTGACACCAGCCAATACCGATAAACAGGTTGTCCAGAAGAACTCATATGATTAAACGGCTCATCATGGACCTCTCAAACCCACCAAAAGAAAAACAAATGAAAGGTAAATAGAAAAAAAACTATTAATAGCATAAAAACTCAATAAATCAATATCAAATATACAAACAACGGAAATAAACAGGACCTGTATAAAAAAAATGAGTGGAAATTGATAAAAGAAGTAATTAATTATAGTTTTGTGCAGGCGTGTCACATATGCATATCACCATCATCTAGAGAAGACGTCTCACCTTGTAGAAAAAAGATTCTTAGTGACAAACGAATCTAGAAAAAAGACGAATCTGTATACTGACAAACAAATCTGTCACTACGAGAAGACGTCTCACCTTGTAGAAAAAAGATTCTTAGTTGCCTTAACCCACGTAATATGAAGCTCGTGCGTGTCACATATGCATATCACCATCATCTAGAAGAATCTCAAAAATCACTTTCATTGGGATTTCATATGTGACACCAACCAATAACGACTAACAAACCATCCAGAAGAACTCATTAGGTTAAACGTCTCATCATGAATCTCTCAAACCCACCAAAAATAAATAAATAAATAAATGAAATGCAAATGAAAAAAAAAAACACTTGCAATAATGTTAAAAACCCAAATAATCAATATCAAATATACAATGAAATAAAATAAATAGAAACTTAATAAAATACGAATAGTATTGAATGAAATACAAATAAAAATAGAATAAATACTTTAATCACCCTCCTACTATCGCATTCGTAATTTGCTCACTCAACTCTGTCATTTCGATTGCACCTTTCATGTCTTTAGTACAGGTAATGGAAACATCATTCTCAAGCCGTGACAAAGAATATTCAAGATGAGACTCAAATGCCTCGACACGTAGGTGCTCATGATGCTCGTTCGTCCTACAGAAATCGATGTCGTTGCGAGAAGGATGTCGCTGATTGTAATTGTGGAGAGTCATCGTGACAATCACAATCTATACCTGTTTGAGAAACAAGATGACATATCGCAAAATATAACTCATTTCTTCTTCCAAATTTCAAAAGTTCTCTCAATGACACTTTGTAAGAAGGAATGTATTTTATTAAATATTTTTTTTTGTCTCGTATTACATTGTTTGCTCTCTCAACGTCCGGCATGTGATATTTCGTATTAGGATAGAGCTTGAGATAACCTCGCTGCAGCGGATATCTAACATCAATCAAGTAGTTTTTACCTGATATGTATTGCATGATTAGTATTGAGGGAAAAGTAAATAACGAGAGTAGTCGAGTCTCACACATACCTGTGGGAGGATGTCGGAAGTTGTACTTGTTATTCCTTGTTGCAGCTTTGAAAAAATGCTAGTATCATGTGCACTACCCTTCTAACCGGTCATGACAAAAGTGAAGCACGTGTTGAAGTCGCATGTGACCATGATATTCTGACCCACATCGGTCGATGAATGTGATATTCTCATTATTTGGAACATGTGCAACAATGTGTGTTTCATCGATTGCTCTAATATAATTCTGGAAAGATAATGATGGGTTACGTAATAACATTATTTTTTTAAAGTTGAATGTAATAAATTTAATGCATTACCTTAAAGAACTACATGTACTGTGCACCGTATGAAATCTCTGTGAGGGTCTGTTCGAACGTAGGATCTGTTGGTTTATGACTTGCAAAGAAAAACTCACAAATACCATTAACCCCACTGAGAGGTATTTACAATTCTGGAAAGATAATGATGGGTTACGTAATAACCTTATTTTTTAAAAAATTAAATGTAATAAATTTAATGCATTACCTTAAAGAATGACATGTACCGTGCATCATACGAAATCTCTGTGGGGGTCTGTTCGAACGTAGGATATGTTTGTTTATGACTTGCAAAGAAAAACTCACAAATGTCATCAACCCCACTGAGAAGTATTTACAAATTGTTTCGGAGGAGTATTAAAATTGTTTCATTGTTCCTCACATTGATTCATTTTGTGATAATATATAGAGTGTTATTGTTAACGCATCTCACGAAGTGTCCTGAAAGAGTCATGTAGTTCATGATTTTTGTGTAGTTCCTCCAAAAAATCGTTGAATACTGTTTATGTCACACAAAACATATTCTTAAATCTCGTTTGGTGGCTCACAAGCAACTCCTGAACCCATATGTCCCCAACATATGAGGATGTTATGCAAGGGGAGCGATCTATGTACCAAGTTATAATATTCGTACATCAAGCATGTGACAGTTGCAACTCTCCTTCTGTGCCATTCTCTGGTTGCATCCATGTAGATTAATATCGTTCTGGTTAACACAGAAGCATCAATGCATTAACTACAATCATATAAGGTTACGAACAATACAATAAACATATAAGCATCATTGAATAAGACATGTCCTAGGCAATTGAAATAGCCATAACAAAATGAAAAGCAATGAACAAACATAAATATCCCAAGCCATTGTAATTAAAAAAAGTCTCTCAAATATTCATGCGATTATAAAAATGTCTTAGATACGTCACCCTACGGTCATCAGACATCTTGACGGAAAATATCTCTACGAGTTGGAACTTCAAGCAACTCTATCACAAAAAAGTATAACGGCAAATCCTCAGAAAGTTTCCTAGTTTCATTCATAATTTGTAGGACCTGGTCGACAGAAGTTGCTTGAGATGTGTGAGGTTCAGCGTTGCATGTAGCCACCAGCTGTGATATCTGACTTAAAAGAAAAGCAACTCCAACTTGCTTTTTATTGTCAACCCGCAAACATTTAGAAGAGCGGTTGAACTCAAGATCAAGGAGGTCTGGGCGGGGACTTTGGTGGAATCACCCGATTGTTTGGCTCCCAAATTTTCGTGGGTGCCACCAAACCCTGTCTCACTGGGGGCACATACATTATTGCTCGTAGCGACGACACCCAAAAAAATTTGATCCAACTTCTCCTCCAACTCAGAATCGAGTCCACTAAGTTTAATTTTTTTTGCAGCAGACACCACCTACAAATTCATAATATCTACTTCAATTAAAAAACAAAATGAAATTCACCAAATTAAGGGACATGTCAAAGATGTTTACTGCAAGTCTTTCTGCCCAACACTCATTGGAAGTATCAATGGTTCGTTTCACCGGATCACACCCCAGCTCTTTGATCGTCGTTTTAATTCATTCCAAAATTTTGAATCCTTATTGAGTTGATTACATTTTGTTCTTTAATTGTATCATATTGTACTATCTGTCTGTAATTTTTTTGAATTTTTTTATAATATTTTGTCACTCTTCCTTGTTGAAATGGGTTGTAGACCTATATTCCATATCGATCTTTTTGAGATAAAGGTCACAAAATATTATTTTCCCACATTGCAGGTGTATCAACATCTTTGGTCTTAACCATTATATTACTATGATGAAAAAAACAAAGTTTCATAAATAAAAATGCAACAATATACGCACATGCACTCACTGCACACACCATAACACATCATCACATACACCACAATATCACATCTACACACACCACCACAACTCCCTACACCCTCCACACACCCAACCAATCACAATAGCATATCCACACCATACACACCACCACACCTCCCTAAACCCTCCACTGACCCAACCAACCACAATAGCACATCCACACCATAAACACCACCACACATCCCTTAAACCCTCCACACACACAACCAACCAACCTCCACACCTCCACACACCCACACCTTACTAAACCCTCCACACACCCAACCAACCAACATACCACACCTCCACACCACTCCACAATAGCACATCAACACATTGCACCATCGCACACGCCACCACACCTTATGCCTTCAAGTTCTTAGAATTTGCTTGGCCATTTTTAATGAATGGCTTAAAAACAATTGGTATCCTTTTCCTTTACAATACACACATTCTAACCATCTACAATTTTAGCTACTCTAAGGATGTGACAAATATACTTGCTTATTGCTTACCCTTTGCCTCTTCACAGCTTAAAAAACATGTCCAAAAAAAAAAAAAACAAATCCAACACCTGCTCTTCACGGCTTCAAAGCCCACCGTAGATGCAAACCCCAACATAACACCATTCATAGATGCAAACCCTACCACAAGAACAACACCCCAAAAACAAATTCAAAACCCCTCCACAACAAACAACATCAAACCACCACATCACATCACCACGACACCACAACACGACGACACACAATAACAAATCCAAAACTTGCTCAAAAACAAATCCAACTAAAAAACAAATCCAACAATTTCTCTGCACAGCTGTGAACCCCACCACAGATGCAAAACCCACCATAACACCATTCACAGATGCGCACACACCACACTCCAAAAACAAATCTAATAACTCATCATAGCAAACCACAACAAACCACCTCATCGAACCAACACACCACAAATAACCACCAAATCACAGCTAACCACCACACCAAACCACACCAACCCACCACACCACAGCTCCAAGCGGGTAAGAGCAAAGCACCACAACAAACCACCATAGTAATAAGAAAACCATTCATGGATACAGAAAACCGAAGCTATCCTTAATGATTCCTCTCAAAATCTCACTCAAATATTAAATTCTCACTCAAAACAATTACAAAATACCAACAAAAACATCAAAAGCCTAAGCATCAACAGCCATTAAGAGGATTGGGGCAGAAAACAGAAAGCAACTTATCCATAAAAATATGTGCTGTGGAGAAAACGCAAGTAACCCATCAAACAAATTCACGAAAAAAATATTCTCTTTGCAAACCAACACGGCTAACAGAGCAAATCCTCCAAGAAAAGATAAGGGATAGAGGATATCGGAGAAAGAAGGAGACGTTACACTCAAATGCAGGACGGTTAGGGCAAAAGACGCCAAGAAAATGTCAGAGTTTCGCAGGAGGGTTAGTGCAAAAGCCGCGGGATGGGGAAGATCATTACGAGGACCCTAAGAGCAAGACAGTAAAGCTAATGTGAAGAAACGCATGCCGCGTGGTCGAACTCGCAACCCATGTTTCATAAAAAACGCATTGTGTCGTCCCCCAAACGTCCTTGAATGGCGGTTTGAAACTGCCCCGCGGGAAAAAATGCACCCGCCCTCCCAAACGGACCCTAAGTTATACTTTGGATCCAACTAATCACCTCATGTGAAAATTCAACTTGAAGGGTTGAACGCTTAAAATTCTTAAATCAATCACACAAGTACATATAATTATCAAAAATTGATAGATAAGCTATATATGTGCAATCAAGTTTAAATTTATTAACCCAAAGTAAAATTAGCTTAATTGTATTTATTATGAGACCAAAGCAATACTATTAAATCTAATTGCACAATTTGTTCCAATGCTTATTAAGATAAAGCTTAAATCTAAGATTTTGAAATAACTAATGATATATATTAACTTATATTTTGAAGTTATGAGGAAAAAGAAAAAGAAGAAAAAGGGGTGAATAAGAATGGGTTAACTAGAAGTTCTCTAATGATTAAAAATGGTGAATCTAATTATTTTGGTAAGCTCACTTCAATCAATTAATTATAATCAAATTATAAGTATATAAAAATGCTAGGTATGGGCCTATTATATAATATACCTTAAAATTAAAAAAAAAATACATTTTTTTTTTTGATACTCCCAAATCTCATGTCTATTTACAAATGAAATTGAATGAAGTTCTCAACTTCCTCTACTTTTGCACTTAAGGGGATCATATTCTCTAGGATTCTATCTCACCAGCACACATAGATCTTATGTCCAAGAAATCATAGGAATAAAATAAATTTAATTAACTCAATAAAACATTGTGCTAAGCAAACATTTAATATTCAAGTGTCCATTTGACATTACATTTAACACATTTAGTACAATATATTTATTACTGCATATGACTAAAAATTAATACAATGTGTTGCATGTTAGAAATATTTTTTAAGTGTATTAAAGAGAATGATAATCACTTCAATTCTTATTGATAAATTTTTTTTGAGTGTAAAAGTTTCATCATTATTGATCATCAGGACAATGATGAGAGATATGTTGTGGGTCATATATTTCTTCTATTTAAATACGACCAGAGTGGTTGATATTGATCTATTATTCATCTATATTTTCTTTACTATGACGATTGGGAAAACTTATCTTGAGCATTCTTATGTTAATTCAGAGATCTATCGAACATTTTTCATGTGCATTAATGACTGATTGATGATAAATGAAGGCAACATAATTGATAAGGTTAATATAGGAGTGATAAAATCACACATCAATGATTAAATAAAGGGCGGAGGGTGGAGAACTTTAAAGGAAATCCTTTGTAGTAGCTCAAGATTCACCACTTCATTTTGACACGCATATAAAAAGAATTTTAGTAGTACTTTTAATGAAATTTATCTCAATTTATAGATTCTATAAAAGTCTATTATAAGTTTAATGATACTATAACTAGTTCATTAGAGCCATGTTATATGTGCATAAAAATATTATAAAGATATGTGCTCATAGAATTCAATGGTTCATCACCAGAGTTTATAGTTGGCAACTTAGACCTTATCAAAATGAGGATGGGATATAGTCAATCAAAGGTGAAAACTCTTGAAGAAATTTGATTCATATTCTCTAATGAGAACTCGTTCCACACCAAACACGATAGCTCCCCTCAATAACGCAAGATTGAATCAAATCATGATGATAATCATCCACTCTTTTTTGCAAAATTGTTGACCCTTTTTTGTTATCTCAAAAGGAAGGGTGTCTCATGTGTAGGTTAGGAGGAATATTGCAAAATTGGGAAAGATTATGAACATTTACTTGATTAATAACGGGTAATAACAAAATATTCATATTGATCAATGACAATCAATGGTGGCTAATAATGGATATCATGGTTAGCTAATATTGAGTACTAATGGATGAGCAATAACAAAAATTGGCACTAGTCGAAGATGGACATCAGCTGAATTAATGATAAGTAAAGAAGGATATGACTTTGATCGATGGTGCTCTAAAATTTTTTGAGTCTTAAGTTACTCTACAACGGAATTTTTTTAAATATGAATTAATTTTATTTCAATATTTATGTATTCTAATTCTCATTGAATTTCATTATCTTATACTCTAAAATCTCCTCATCAAAACACTTATTTTTATAAGAAATAGCCTACTTTATAAGACATTTGATCCATCAAATAACTCAAATACTTGATTTAGGGATTTTGTGGTTGTACGTAAAGTATGTGTATTACATTTGTAATATAGATGTTGTAAGAAGGTGTTTTGTGTAAAAATTTAGAACATAGAGTAAAATTGAGTTAAATTCTAAACTCGCCTTTTTTTTTAATTTACGGCGTATTTCAAACTCATCAAATTCGTCAAATTTTCCCATAGATCTTTCATTATTTTTTGTCGGCCACCCTCCTCTTCGTTATGAATTGATCTTTTCCCCTTTAAACTAATCATAATAATTAAAATTTTATACTTATTTAACGCCCAACTAAAAAATTTCAAAAATATTTCAAATAAGCTATATTAAAATGATTTTATTTACAAAAAACTTTAAAAATTTTGACACCTTAAAAATAGTATGGTTTTGCCAATCCAATATTTAAATTAGACTAAAATGTAATAAATATGCAAATTTATGTGTTCAATATATATTATATATTTAAAACTGTATTTTTTTTTTATTTAGCTGGTGTTGAATTTATTAAATATTTAGGTTAGTAAAAAATTACATCTTTGAGAAAAAAAAATGACAGTTACATGAACTTCTCACTAAAATATCAAAGGTCGTGATAAAATTGTAACCCATATTTTTTTAGTTTTATCAAATTCACAATGATTTAATCATGACATGCATAAATACATCATTTTTATAGTTCAAAAAATATCCTAAGTGTTGATTTGTAAATAATAATATTTCTTATACTGCCCTTTTATTATTCTAAGAAGAAGGGAACCAATGTATATATATATATATATATATATATAGTGTATATGGGGGTTGAGAAAACAGTCGCCGCAAGCTATGGTATGTTGGTTGGCGTGGTGCACTGTAAGCTCTCTCAGGTCACGGGTTCGATCCCCAGTGTTGTTGGGTTCTTGAATATTTAGGCGCATAGCGCGGGCTCTCATGATAGGGTCTATCACATGAGAAATCGGTATGTGTGTGGGTAGTGAATGCCAGATGGCGACTGTTTTCTCAACCCCCATATAGAATCAGGAAGTGTTCGGCATAGTAAATTCCGACACTACGGTCGACTTCTTAGTTCGGTCTCCTGGAGCATAAGAATAAGAAGAAGAAGAAGAAGAAGCAGCGGCGGCGGCGGCAGGAGGAGGAGGGAACTATTTCTGAAAATGGCTTCGCTAGTCTACTACATGGCCTTCCTCACCGTCCTTAATTTTGCTAGATCAGATGGTAATCGCTTTCCCCATTGCTTTTGATCTTCAAAATGGAGGTCTAAGGTTCGAATGTCGCAGATGAAAACGATATATTGTACATTTCGGCGCTTCATTTCCCAAGATCTGCTTATTCGGCATTGGCTTGATCTCGATCGATTAAATAGACGAGCGTTCTATAGATCTGTCTTCGTTATTACGATGTGCGGAACTGCACGATGAACAGTTCCACACTGTTGAATTCTCGGATTATTGATCTGGTTTCGATTGGTGCTGAATCCAGAGCGTGGGATAGTGGAAAAATTTAGGAATTAAATGCTTGTTGATTTGCTGAATTGGGAGCCAAAATTTCCATTCCATAGAAGTTTAAGTTAACGGGATGTATCATTGCTTATACCTAAATACGTTCTTTGTCGATTTTCGGCTATAGTGTTCTTTTTTTCTTGCTTGCGGGATGTTATCTAAGTTCTTGGTTTGGATATTTGCAAACAACAAATTGCACGGTATCTCTGTCCGCATTGAAAGTCCCTTGATTTTTTTGGGTTTGAATCAAATAACCAATCTTATTATTTCCTTCAAGAGAAGTCCCAACAAAAGAATCGTTGTCTGATTGCATTTTTTAAATTTATTATGCATTTACATGTCTAACTCCTAAACATTCATATTTACATGCATAGCACTCCAAACTTTTAAGAGTGTAACATCACATCAAGAATACTATAATCACTAACTTTTTAATAGTGAAATACACTTTTGCATCCATAGATTCATGTCGCCAAGGTGGTATAAGTGTAAATATTAAACTTTGGGTGTTAGATATGTAAATACATAAGAATTATGTGGTATGTATATAAATTTCTATACATACATACATAGATAATCCTAATTAGTAGATAATTTGATTTGCCTATCAAATCTTAGCAAATTTCAATTCCCATTTACACTTCACTAACTAACCCTAGTTAAAAAGATGAAGCAAATTTTATCGTTGTGATTTGCCTATAATGGCGCGCCACCATACCAGTGGAGTGAAATCAATATGTCCATCGACAACCGAGAATCAGTTGATTGGGTAGAGGAGGAAATAAAACTTGGTATCTTGAGCTTGGAAAGCATAGAGTTCCTCAGCTATTGCTTGTCACCAGCGAGCAGACTTGGCGGCCTATGTGTAGCATGAAGGGGTTTGACTTTCCCAGTTTTGGCCCTGGTTAGCATCGGATGGGGCACAATTGGAGCAGGTTGTGACTCAGCTGTGATTTCGTTGAGGGGACTGTTCTTCTTTATGTGTATTGTTGATTGCTGAGATGCTGAATTGTGGAGTGCTTGTGTGGGAGTCGATTTATGAGGCTCTTTGCTATCCAGTGAAGTCGCTGAGTTGATTTGTTTTAAAGAAGTTGCTATAAATTGTAAGGTTTGTGAAGTGATGAAACTTGTTTTGGTGGTGGAGGCATATAGGAAGAAGTGTTCATTAAACACGACATTTCTAGATATGGTAATCTTTCCTGATTGAGGATTGTAGCATTTGAAGCCTTTATGAGCCGAAGAGTAACCAAGGAAAATGCAGGGAGTTGTGTCGGGTGCTAGCTTATGTGGTGTTCGAAGTTTCAACCATAGGTAATGGCAACATCCAAATGTTTGTATATCAGTTCATATGGAGAAAGAGTTCGAGTATTTTTGAATGGCATGCAGTTAATAGGATATATTGTTGTTAGGGCACTTCCACATAGAAATTAAGTGGACGAGGCATCATAGAGACGCGTTTGTGTTGCGTCAGTAAGGTGGTGATGCTTACCCTCTGAAATTCTATTTTATTATGGGGTGTATGAGCATGATAATTGGTGAATTATGCCATTGTCTGAGAAGTTTTCAAAGATTGTGTTGTTGTATTCACCATCCCCATCAGATATGAATATTCGTATGGATGTGTTAAATTGGGTATTAATCATTTTAATGAATGAAATGCATTAGTGAGTTGATTCAGACCTGTGAATCATAGGAAATAACCAGCAAAACCTAGAGAAATCATCAATGAAATCAATATTAGATCAGTAGTCTTGATTTATAAGATTGGGGATAGAGCATAAATTCAGATATATAAATTTGAGAAGTGAGTACATATGTAAAGGAGTGGGAAGAAAAGGCTATTTATGACTTTTGATGCAGTTTCAACTATTACATTAGGGTCATCTTGTTGTTATGCCGAGAGGGTTGTGTCTTGGATAGGGTATTGTGTCTTGGTTTGGATGTTCAAGCCTTTTGTTTCATATTGTAGATAGTTGTATAGGGTAGTGAGAGCTTGGGTAGAAGCCGTCGATTAAAATTTCAAAAGCTAAGAAGGTCAAAGAAGATTGCAACATTGCTATCAGTGATGAGCTTATGCACGGATAATAGATTATGAGATAAGGATGGCACATGCCATGTTTTAGGGAGGAGAAGCTTATGATAGGGGGTAGAGAGAATTCCATCTCATTTGTGTTGGACTGAAACCAATTGTTTGTTGCTGCTGACTAGTGCCTACTCAAAGCCATTAATTGTTGTAACGTCCTTGAGATGGTTGAAGTTGAATGTAAGGTGTTGTAGCTCCAAAGTCAAGTACCCAAGTAGGGGTGGTAGTTTGTAATGCTTGTTTGTGGGAACTTTAATTCATATTTGGACGGTGCCAGTAAGTGATTGTTGAGTGACCGAAGTTGTTATAGATTTGACGTATTATGAAAATTTTGGATTGAGAATTGAAGCTCTATTATGACCCTGGTAGAATTTCTCTGGCAGCCAAGAGAGGATGTGAGAATTGGTCGAGGGTTGGGAGTTTCTTCCCGTTTCAGATTTTCATTTGCAAGGTCAATCTCTTCGCTACATAGGAGGAGGGAGTAAAAAATCATCCATAACCACTAGTTGAAGCTGAGTGTGGATGTAGTTTTGAATGTTTGAGAACCCGAGGGTATGCCATTAAGTGTGTAAAAATAATATCCTCTTCATCTAAGTGTCCACCATCAACAAAAATGCTATCTACCAAGGTTTTGACAGTTTATAGATATGGGGTCTAGATTGGTTTTTCATTGATAGGTGGTGTAACTCAATTTTGAGCTAAATATGGTTGGATTTATTGGTGGGTTACAATCTTTTACGCTCGTAACCCTACCACTCCAGGCCGGACCGGTCGAGTAACACGTCAACGGGCTGCCTGTCTCTTCCAAGCGCCGAACGGCTCAGCATCTGGAGAATTCCACGACCGAAGAAGCCAACAAATAGGGGGGCCCACGAAGGCATTAATCACGTATGCGCGAAGGAGAAATTGAAGGAGTTGGGGGGAAAGTTTTAAGGGAAAGTTTGAAGTGTTGTGGGAGGTTTATATTAAGGGGAACAACCTAGGGTTTGTTTTTCTTTATGCATTTTTGCTGGTTGCTGCCTTCTTTTCCTCTTGTGGTGTTCCTAGCAACGTTTAGGGTTGTGGAAGAGACAATCTAACTCTCGAAAAGTAGATCATCATTGCATCTTGTTTGTTTTCCTTTGATTTTTGTAAAAGCAACACTCATTTGAGTTTTTTTCATCTATCTATTGTCGTTTCATAGTTGTTTGCTCGCTAATTTTGGTTTTGGAGCGTATCAAATTGGTATCAGAGCATGGATCTTGAAGAGATGACAACAAAGAAATTGGATGTGCTGGAAGAATAGATAGGACAAATCGGATCGGGAATGGAATAAATATTCGCCACCATGAAAGACATATTTTCTTCTATAGAAAGTTGAATGTAGGATGGATTTGAGAGCATAAAAGAAATGTGGGAGACTGATGAAAATGCTCAGGAGATGCAATTCAGACTCATGACGATCGCTTCAGTTGCAAACCTTAACTAAGGGTTGATCAGGGAATCCTTGGTCAGGTCAAAAGGGAAGGAGATTGAACGAGAAAAGGAGTAAGACATCGTCTACCACTAAAAGTGTCCCCCTATGACTTCGAGAAGAGGGAGAGTAGAGACTTCCGATGGAGGAGGATGGGTCGAAAAATTTTAGATTAGGGATGGTGTAAGGGGCATGGAAAAACACGATGGAGGATGGAGGAAGGAGGAAATTGAGACTTGGGTATGCATATGACCGGAGGAGGGAGTTCCACCCTAGATACATGGGGGGAAATACTAGAGGAAGAGGAAATTAAGATGGAGATGCAACGATCAGAAAACTGAAGATGTCGATCTTCTAAGGGAAAGATACACATGGGTAGGTGTATCAGGTGGAGCGATACTTTGCAGTCAATGTTTCAACTGAGGAAGAGAAGCTCATGACAGCGAGATTATGTTTGGAGTGAAAGAGTTTATTGTGGTTTCAGTAGATGGAGGCAAGGTATCCGATGCACGCATGGGATGCAAGCTATTCGATGCTCACATGGGATGCAAGCTATCCGATGCTCACATGGGAGGAGTTTAAGGATTGCTTATTAGAGTATTTCGAAACCATTCAGGAAAGATAACTAACGAGCAATTCTATACTCTGACTCAAGAGGGGACGATCATGGAATATCGAGAGAATTTCGAGCTCTTGTCATGGAGGTTGGGGGGTATTTCTGCAACAGGACTGGAAAGGAACTTCTTGAAAGGTCTAAAGCCCGAAATACAAGCAGCCATCCGACCCTTGAGACCGCGTGGATTAAAGGAAATGTTTGAGCTCGCCCAGATGATGAAGGATAAGAAACAAGTGAAATAGACCAGCAAAGGGGGTAACATCGGGAGATTGTACAAGATCACCTTGACAACCACTTCAGAAAGGGACGCCGAAGAAAAAGAATACAGAGAACCGTCTCGGGGATAATTTCAAGCACCTCATTGATGCAAAAGTGCGGGTTAAAAGAGCAGAATGATTATGTTGTCGCTGTGACGATAAATATGCCCTAGGCCACCGTTGCAAGGAGTATGCCCTTTAGATTCTTTTAGTTCAGGAAGAGAGAGAGTAAAAATTAAGAGGAGGATGCGGTGGAGGAGGAGCATCTGCATTTGGATGTAGCATAGGTGTCCCTCAATTTAGTGGTCGTATTTACCACGAATCACACCATGAAGGTGAGGGGGTGGATTGAGGAGTAGCCGATTGTGGGGTAGATAGAGGAGTCACACATAACTTTATCTCAAATTAGGTCGTGGAGAAGCTACGGTTGGAGCTGGTGATTACAAGGAACTTCAACGTCATGATGGGGACAGAAAAGGTGGAGAAAAGTTGGGAAATTTGTAAGGGATTGGGTTTGACATTACATGGTCTGCAGGTGGTGGAAGACTTCCTTTGGATTTGGGCAACATAATTTTGGGGATGAAGTGGTTGCAAATGCTTAAGGAGATGAAGGTAGATTGGAAGTTTCTGACGATGAAGTTTCAAGTAGAGGGTAAGAATGTGATGTTGAGAGGAGACACTAGTTTAAGCAAATCTATGTTGTCGCTCAAAACCATGTCAAGTCGATACAAAGAGCAGTGCAGGGCTACTTGATGGAGTTTTAAGGCATTGAGGAGATTCAAGCTTCAGAGTTATAGAGTTTCCCGAAGGGATCCAACATCTCCTATAGCAGTTTACGATCACCTTCCTACAACAAAGCGGGTTATCACCTCTGAGGGAGCACGAGCACGCTATTACATTAAATGAGATTGTTTCCCTTATCAGTGTGAGACCATACATATACCGTCAAATTCAAAGGATGAGATAGAGAATTTGATCAAAGAGATGCTCGAAGCCGGGATTATCAGGCCCGGTGTGAGCCCTTTTTCTAGTCCAATCTTGTTGGTGAAGAAAAAATGGTAGTTGTAGATTCTGTATGGACTACCGGGCTTTGAACAACGAGACGGTGTTTGATAGTTTCCTATTTCTGTGATTGATGAGTTACTAGATGAGCTTTATGGGACAGTCATTTCTGAAAAATTGATCTTAAGTTGGGGTAACACCGGTTCAGGATAAATCCAGCAGATGTGCACAGGAAAGTGTTCGGGGCATATGAGGGACATTTTGAATTCTTAGTGATGTTGTTTGGCCTTACCAATGCCCCAACCAATTTTAGTTCCTCATGAATAGGTTTTTTAACCTAGCCTCCAGAAATTTATACTCGTCTTTTTTGATGATATTATGGTCTATAGTCGTACAAAGACAGAGCATGCGAAGCACTTGAGGACAGTTTTGGAGACATTGAGGGAGTAGTAGTTGTATGTCAACTTGAAGAAATGTTTCTTTGCAAAGTTACAGATGGAATACCTAGGACATATAGTGGCCAGAATGGGGTAGCAATGGATTAGTCCAAGAATGAGGCTATAGTGGATTGACTCTTACCAAGAAGTTTGAAGGAATTGACAAAATTCTTGGGTCTCACCAGCTACTACCGAAGTTTGTTAGAGGATATAACACGATAGCATGACCAATGGCGGAGCAATTAAAGAAAGACAATTTCAAATTGGAGGGGGCGGGACAACAACATAGACATTTGAATATCTAAAGAGAGTCATGACTAATGCTCTGGCATTAACACTTCCATATTTCAGTAAACCATTTGTGATAAAAATGGATGTGTTAGGATACGGGTTGAGAGCAATGCTCATGCAGGACTAGTGGTCGATGGCCTACTTCAGTCAGATTCTCACTGTCAGAACGAGGCTAAAGTCAGTATATGAGCGGGAATTGATGGCGATTGTCTTGAGCATTCAAAAGTGGCGGCTCTACTTGTTGGGATGGAATTTTCTGGCCAAGACAGATCAATGGAGTTTAAAATATCTTCTGGAGTAGCGGATGATAATTGAGGAGCATCATAGATGGTTATCAAAGCTACTGGGGCATGATTTCAAGATTTAGTACCGATCAGGATTGGAAAATAAGGCAGCTGACGCACTGTCGAAAAAGGTGGAGAAACCTCGGTTGATGACCCTATTGGTACCTTGGTTCTAGATTGGGAAGCCTTGAAGCTGGAGAACAAATGGGATGAGGAGCTGTGGAAGATAAGGTTCGAGTTACTACAGAATTCAAACAATTATTCAAGTTATGCATTGAGGGGACAACGGCTGCTCCATTATGGGTGATTCGTGCTTCCCAACATGTTAGAATATATTTCTAGATTATTATTGGAGTTACATGACATTGCAAGGGGGGCACTCGGGCGTACAAAAGACTTATAATCGTTTAGCGAGAGAGCTTTAGCTTTATTTGGTGGGGATGCGCAGAGCCGTAGAGAACATGGTGGTAAAATGCGATGTGTCTCGGCGGCAAAAGTACTTGACCAACGCACCAAGAGGGTTTACTGCAACCATTAGCATTGCATTGTCGGGGAAGGTTTGAGAAGAAGTGACGATGGATTTTATCGAGGGATTGTCATAGTCAAAAGGGTTCAAGGTGGTCATGGTGGTTTTGGAAAGTATACACATTTCATTCTCTTACAATATCTTTACACTGTGGTCTCAGACGTGACGAGTGGTTTGTTTGCATAGAGTGTCAGAATCGATTGTATTAGATAAGGACAAGGAGTTCCTCAGCCAATTATGGAAAGATCTAAGGCACAATTCTTAAGAGAAGCACCACATATCATCTCCAGGCTTATGGGCAGACGGAAGTGGTCAACAGTAGTGTAGAGACATACTTACGTTGTTTTTTATTTGATACGTTGAAGCTATGGGTCAAGTGGATTGTGTGGGCTGAATATTGGTAGAATACTTCGTGTCATACAGTAGCACAGACAACCTCTTTCAAGATATTATGTGGACGAGATCTATCTCACTTGATATCTTATAGGCAGTGCTACGTCGGTATCCAACTTTGATCAATACTTAGAGGAGGGACAGGATATTAGCAGAGCTCAGGAGGCAACTACTAGGAGCCCAACAAATCATGAAGAGGAAAGCGGATAAACATAGGAGAGAGGTGCAAGGACATGGTCTACTTGATGTCGAGCTCCTGTCGACAGAAGACATTGGCCAGGAGGAGGAGCGAGAAACTTTCACCGCGATACTTTGGATCTTATGAGGTGATAGTACACATCGGGATAGTGACCTATCATTTGAGGTAACCACCATCGTTTGCACTACACTCGGTCTTCCATGTATCACAGCTGAAACGTGCGATTGGAGATCATACACCCTCGTCTTCACCACCGCCGACGGTGACGGAGGACTTGGAGGTGATTCTGGAACCGTTAGAGGTCGAAGGAGTGTGCCGAGGAATTGGGGAGTAAAGGAGATATTGATCAAGTGGAAAGGATTGTCAGACTATGAAGCAATGTGGGAGTCTTATGTGGTGTTCCACAAGCAGTTTACATTCTTCCACTTTGAAGACAATGTACTTCTTTGGGAGAGGAGTATTGTTACACCCGTAACCCATCCTGTCCAGGCGGGACCGGTCTAGCAACAAGTGAGTGGGCCGCCCATCTCATCCAAGCGTCGAACGGCTCGACATCTGGAGAATCCCATGACCAAAGAAGCGAGTAAACAAGAGGGGTACACGAGGGTGTTATTCATGTATGCCCAGAGGAGAAATTGAAGGAGATTGAAGGGAAGGTTTGGAGAGAAAGTTGAAGTGCGGTGGGATAATTATATTAAGGTAAATAACCTAGGGTTTGTTTTATGTCATGCATGTTTTGTTGGCTGTTGCTTTCTTTCACTCTTGTGGTGTTCTTAGCGACGTCTAGGGTTGTGGGAGAGACGATCTATCTCTCAAGAAGTAAATCATCATTGTATCTTGCTTGTTTTCCTTTGATTTTTTGTAAGAGCTGCCCTAGTTTGAGTTTTTTCCATCTATTTAGTTTCGTCGTTGTTTGCTCGCTGATTTTGATTCAGGAGCATATCACAATCTTTTTGCAGTAGTGTTTAAGTTTTCAGAGATAATAGGGAGATGAAGGATATATGGTGGGATAATTGGAGACATGATCCAGTATATAGTGGCAGTGAAATTTTGATTGATCAGGAGTCAAGTTTTGTAGTGAATATTTTAATGTTGGTGAATCTATTATATTGGTAATGAATTTGGAAGGATATATGATGGGTAAATACTTTTGGAGCTTGAGCTTTCCAAATAGGATAATCATCAGCTGATAGTTTGGTTTTGGTAAGGCTTTTGATATTGCTCATAAGGAATTTAAATAATGGAGCGATAGAAGGAAGTTGCATTGGTTCTAGAGAGGAAGCTCCCTGTGTTTCATAAGTCTGGTAGTTCTTCATTGCTGAAGGAAAAACATCAGGGAGACAGCGTAGACTGTGAAGATGACTTCCTGAGATGGAGAATTTTGTTTGAGAATTGTGATGAGTTAGCTGAGTGGAACCCGAATCAGCTTTGTCTTTGCTCTGATACCATAATGGATTAATACAAGCAGTAACTAATTGCGCAGAAGCAGGAGAATGTTAATGATGTGTAGTTGTCTCTATATTTTTATATGCATAAAATGTACATTCATGTCTATATATAAGGCAGTAAGGAGAGTCTGCTAGCTTAGTTACCAACGATCTGTAGGTTGTCTCTTCTGTTGTGCTACTATTATGCTATGGTTATTATTCCCTAGAGTTGTTGGCATCCTCAAATTGACATTTATCCTCCTTTTCCTATGTTTCTGCTCTCTGATTCTCCCCCACCTAACTCTTAATGTTTCGGCATCTTTAAAATAACATCTATCCTTTTTTCAGATTCAACCGACCAGCTTCTTAAAGGCCTCAACGCCTACCGAACATCCCTCAAACTATCACCTTTAACAGAGAATGAAAATGCTGAGTGTTTGGCAGAACAAATTGCCAAACAATTTGAAGACCAGCCCTGCTCCAACACTACCGGAGCCAACACAGTCCCTGGAACTGAAGAACAGTTTCCAAACTTTCCAGACTTTCTAACCAAATGCCATCTCAATGCAACAGTAACTCAGGACGCTTCTATAATGCCTGTTTGTGTTCCTGACCTCCGGTCAGACCTCGTCCTTTCCAACTATACAAAAACACAGTACTCCGGCAGTCTAAACGATAGCAAATTCACTGGTGCTGGGCTTGCCGACGAAGGTGATTGGGTTGTCGTGGTTCTGAGCACGAATACCTCGACCGGGAATTTTTCACCCGCAACAGGTTCTGATTCTGGCTCTGGCTCTAGCTCTGTTCATGCTTGTGCTCTTTCCTTCTATTTGACAGTTTTGTTTTTGGAATTATTGGTTTTAATGAAATAATGGAGATTTACATTCATACCACACAATTCTAATTTATATGCACATCTAACTCCTAAAGTTTGGTATTTAAACTTATAACATTTTGGTATCATAGTCCCATGCATGAAAAATGTGCTTCACTTTTCAAAAGCTAATAATGGTGATTTTTTTATGTGATGTTGAAGCTTTGAGTGTTAGAAATGTGAATATGAAAGTATAGGTGTTAGATATGTAAATACACAAGTTTTGTGTGGTATGTATGCAAATGATATTCAACAATAATGAAACAGATCTTGTGTTTTCTTGTTATTCCTTACATTGCATTACAGGAACAAGAACAATAATATTTGTTTTGCATTTTCATGTTATCCTTTATAACTGGTTCCTGTGACACTGTTTTATGTGGGTGTTAATTGCGTTTAGAATGCTTCTTAGGCATGTCTGGAAATTGTCTGATACACCAAATTTGATTGCATGTTTACATGGGTGTTCAAGCCATTAATAATGAATAGGGGTAATTTACATGCATACCCCACAATTCTTATATATTTACATATCTGACATCTAAACATTCATATTTACATGCATATTTAAATGGAATCACTTTGCGAGCTCGAGAGGGCCTTTTAAAGCCTACACAAATTATTTTAAATGATTTTTAATTTTGAAAATTTTATAAGATGGTGGGTAGACCTGCAATGCTCTATGGCAATGAATGTTGGCCTTTAAAAGAGTTGCATAAAACAAAGTTATGTGTTGCTGAGATGAGAATGTTTCGTTGGATGAGTGGCTTGATACTAAGAGACAAATATGAAATGAATATATTAGTGATAGGGTTGATGTAGCTTTGGTGGCGGACAAGATTAAAGAGCATCTTATATGGGTTGGTCATATTAATCGTCGATTATCTGATGATCCGGTTAGGAGAGAAGATGTTTTTTTTTTTTTTTTCAACTGATGTTAAGAAAGGCAGAGTCTAAAAGACTGGGGCATATTGTATAAAAAATGATCGTAATCTACTAGAATTAAATGAACATATGACCCCCAATAGAACGCAATGGAGAAAATGGATACATGTAGCTGACACCACTTAGTGAGGTAAAGGCTTGTTGTTGTTGTGATTTTAATTTTGAAAATTGCTTTTAGGATGTTAATGATATATCTTTACATTTTGGTGATTTTATAAATAAAATCATAGACATGATTTAATTGATTTAACAAAATAAAAAGATACATAAAATAAAATTTTGCTTTCAAAATAAAGCTAGATTTTATGATCATCCATCCCACATTATTTTTTGGAATGTTTTTTTTTTTTTTTTTTTGGTAATTTTATGATTTATTTTTATAATACAAGTAGTAGAAATGGGTTTTAATCTTGTGTCTTGCGAGAAAAAAATGTTGCATTAGAAGTCTTAATACAGTTTAGCATCATGACTCCAATTAGAGTCTGCCACGTGTACAGGCAGACCCACTAATATATTAAATTAATTTTGTTACTAAGGTGAGTCTGCCTGTACACGTGACAGGTCCTGACGGTGGTGTAGTCTTTGGGCATTTTTTTCACACCAAAAAGTCATAGAATAAATAAATAAATAATAGAAAAATTTAAATCTATCGTTTTGTATGATTTTTATTTACTTTTATTTTAATGTATTGATATTTGTGTATGAAATAAAATATTTTTAAATGAGGGGATGATATGTAATTCTACTTTTTTATGAATATTGAAGAAATACATAATATTCATCAATAGAAATTATCATGGCGATGGGGTTAGTTATCGTTGAAGTGGATGGTAATTATTTTTAAAAATACTCAGAACATTTAAAATTTATTTTATGTTTTGTAAATAACTAGGTATATTTTAAAAATAAAAAATAAGCAATTGCTACGAACTCAATAAACAATTACATTTTTTTAAAATATATATGTATGTATGTATATATATATGTATGTATGACTAATGCCAAGTAAATCATAGGTTGTCTAAAGCAAGACTAAAGTCAGGAACAAATGCTGGTCTCATCCATTTAATTCAACATATTTTAATATTTATTTTTGAAGCAATATAGAAAAGGGGCAGTTGCACACATACTACCCAATTCCTTTGTATTTACATCCCTAAAACCTTTTTATATATATATTAATTCCCCCTTGGATGGGTAATCACATAAGAAATACCACTATTTTAATTTTTTTTATGTGAAATAAATCTTTTCATGCATAAATAAAGTGGCATGCAGGTAAAAATTGAAGTTTAGATGCTAGATATGTAAATGCATTGGGATTGAGTGGTATGTATGTAAATCATCTTTAAGAAAATGTGATGTTGGCACATTGTCTGCATAGATTGTTGTGTACCCAAAAATGATTTCTACTAATCTTGAGGTAATCTTGTAGTCGACTGACTCGCTTCACTAGACCGACCCTCTCTTCCTCGGTCATCTCACTTCAGTCAGCCGACCAAGCTCTTTCCTTCGGCCAACCAGAATCAGACGAGACACCCAATAGATGACTTTTTACCGGAACATATCAATGTCATAAACTAAAATATCCAGTACCATCCTTTAAAAGTAAGAGTAATATTATGATTTACTTTTTGACATTCCCATTATCTATAAATTGGAGGATCGTTTCATGTAAAATTACTATTTTGGACTCCCCCACTTGTAAGATCTTGTTTTATGGAATAAAAGAGACAGCCGAGCTCAGGGACCACCTCGATTCGCCCACGAGATGGCAAGCTCTCTCTCTCTCTCTCTCTCTCTCTCTCTCTCTCACTCTCTCTCTCTCATCTTGTCTTTCCCTTGTCTTATGTTCTATTTCTTAGGTAAGGTCTATCGACATATTTGGATTTAACAGTTATATTTTTGTATATTTAGCCGTTTTGTGAAAAGTATAGAAAATTTTCTAAGCAGATTAAATTCCTCTCATCTCTGATAAATTTATACTGATTTTATCTATGTAGAAATCAAAAGGATTTTTAAAAAATAAATAAATAAATTCTTTGTGAATAAACTCTCGTGAATCAATTTCTGTTCTTTCATTCCAGGGAACCCCCTTTAAGTATTAACTAATAGAGGAAGAGTTCTATAATTCACTTCCCCTCTCGATTTTACAAATAGTAAGTTCGAGATAAATTTAGGGTATCCTAGGAGAATTACCATATATAACACAAAATTTCTCCTCCAATTTTTTCTAATCGAGCTTCTCGATCTGTTATTATACCTCGAGAAGTAGAAAGGATTACAATTCTCATTCCACCTAAAATCAAAATTAATGATAAAAGTCAAAATGAGACTAGAAAATACAATTGTTAAGTATAGTGAAAATTAGGGCTGTGAATTTAGCTCGAAGATCGTTTATTGCTTGAAAATTGATTTAAATGTTTTCTTGAATCAAAATAAACGAGCCGAGCTATGAGCTAAAATTTTGCATCGATTTTTTTTCAAGCCGATTACAATCCAATCCCAGCTATGCTCGAAATCGAATCATTAACTATTGTAGTGACGTTAGAGCTATGAGTTTTGCTCGAAGATCGTTAATCACTTGAAAATTAATTTGAAGTTCGGCTTGAATCGAGATCGTATTAAAACAAACGAGTCGAGCGATGAGCCAAATTTTTTTATCAATTTTTTTCAAATAAAATTTTGAGTCAACCCCAACTTGGCTCGAAATCAGAATGTTAACAATCCTACCGAAAATAGGACTACTTGAGATATATCGCTAACATGCTTTTCGCGCGTTAGCATGTCAACTTTCAAAATAAATAATAAAAATATATTAAATTAATTTTTAGCAATTTAATGATTAATTTTGAAATATAATAAAATGTCATTTATATACATACCACACAATTCTTATGTATTTGCATATCCAACACAAATTTTCATATTTACATTTGCAAAACTTGAAACTTTAACATCACATTAAAAATATCATCATTATTAACTTTTTTTTTAATAAAATATAAATTTTCATACATAAATTTACAACACGAAAAATATTATAAGCGTAAATATCAAACTTTACCTCTTAGACATATAAATGCATAAGTACTATATGTTTTGTATGTAAATTTCCCTATAATAACTTTACTGCACTAAAGAATAATATTATTAAGTTCCTATTATATATATATATATATATATATATATATATATATTACTAATGATGAGAAGCTCTTGATAAGAGTAAGGAATAATCTCCATTTGGGCCCATGATACCATATGTCCCATCATATATTAATCGTAACACTTTATATGTATATATTCTTAAACCTTATTAAATTATTTAATCTCTACAAAATTATGTCGCGTACCCCAGTCTGTTGGTTGGCATCCACGGCATAAAGCCCCTCATGACATCCACGGTATGAGGGAAAAAATTTGCGTACGTCTGTAACTTGCAAACAGATTACAGGAAGGATTTCATGAGGTTATAACCGAGTTGTACCCCATGTAACCTCCCTGTAACCTACCTGTATATCAAAACAAAAGCGCGGAACTTAATAGAAGAAATATGTAGGTTACAGGGAGGTTACAGGGGGTATAACGCTGTTATAACCTCCTAAAATCCTCTCTATAACCTGTTTGCAGGTTACAGACGTACGCAGCTCTGCGTGCGTCTTAAGTACGCAATTTTTTTCCCGGTATAAGACCCCTCAGGTCAGTTGTTCAAATTCTCTCTGTCACAGTTAAATATTTTTAGGTGTAGTAGGGATGACTGGAGACTCATATAATGAACTCTCCTCATTCCCTGCAAAATCACAAAAATACATTTATTTTAAATAAAATATAATTAATATGAATACTTTTAATCCTATACAAAACAATCCCCCCTTTATAACCACCACATCGACAGCCCACGATCCCCTGTCTCCTTCCCTCGCCACCTTCACAGTCTCGCTCATGGCGGCGAGCTCATCCCTCCCCTCCTCTCTCTCCATAACATCACTCTTCATGAACCAGACAAACCGCAAAACGATAACCCCATCTAAACCCTAACCCTAATCACTCTCCCATTCTCCCTTTCCCTTAACTTCTAGTTGCAGACACCTGCTACCAGACGAAGCTCCCCTGTCTCCGGGCCCCCCCACCAGCTCCCTCCCCCTCTCGATCAATCCATCCATGGATCATTCCTCCACCGACGAAACAATCATGGCCGCTCTCCTCACCCTCAATTCTCCCCAACCCCTCCATCCCCTCGCCGCTGAGCTCCGCCTCCGCCACCGCCGTCTCACATTCCTCCTCCTCTCCCCCCTGCATTTCTCCCTCGCGCTTTCCCACCTCCGATCCCTCTCCCTTCGAACCAAATCGCTTCTCCTCGCCCGCCTCCTCCTCCGCTCCCTCTCCCTTCTCCAATCCCCTCTCCGGCGGCCGCACCGCCTCTCCCTCCGAGATTTCGACGCCGCCGTCCTTCTCCTCGCTATGTGCGATTCCTACCACCCCTCCTCCGCCCACGCCTCCGTCGATTGGCGCTCGCTGATCGCCGATCGTCTCGCCGGAGATGCTCTCTCCGCCGCCGGACTCGGAGGCGGATGGTGGCCCGTGATTGCTGCCCATGTAGACGCCGCAGCCAAGTGCCGGCGGCCGG